ATGAGCAAGTGGTAAGCAGGCAGAAAAGAAACAACATCTGCACATTAGTTAATTGGCCGGACATTTGACAGGGTCAGTGCAAGAAGCAAGAGCTACATATCAATACTACCACATGGTGAAAAACAAAATCAATTGTGCTGAATTGATTGAACATTAGGTTTTTCAGTATTTGTATGAAAAACACATGGATCATAAATTACACGTGTAAGTTCTGATCACAGCAAGTCATGGATAGATTAACATGTGGGAAAAAAAACAACAACAAACAACTAAGAGGCAGAAAAATAAAACAGCCATTTTAATCAAAGCTAACTGAAATATAGATCCATCTCCTCTCGGGGTTCTTTAACATTATGCAGGGAGGAAAATGAAAAAAAGGAGGAAACGGAGAGCGGCAAGAGTGAGCAATACACTACAGTGTTCAAAGCCAACCTTGTCAATAGTACTCACAGTGGGCTAGGGGAGTGTAATAGCACTTCCCTGATTCTACATTGATATCATATAATCCAGTGTGCCCTGCTTCGGTATCATATTTATCTAACCTGCTGGGGGACAGGCTAAGGGGGACGGTGTCCCTGCTGCTTGGAGCAGACACATTACACACCGCCTCGTGTATTCTTATTGATTACTCCCACCCCACTGCCCAGGGACCATAATTTAACTCAGCAGGCACTACAGTTAATACTGGAATTCAAACATTCCATCTACACTTCAAGAGCCAAAAACAATTGACACTTTAAAAAGTGCAGGGCCCTTTCTAAATGGGATCTGAAGGGAATGGATCTCTATTTTCTTCTGTGTGCTTTTCCTTTTTTTCTATTTTTTTATCCCCCTCCACTTCTTTTTTCCTCTCTGTACTGATGCTCAGACAAACTGTGGAGATTTAAGAGTCAATTTGTTAAGGGATGTTTTAATTAGGAAGGACAGAGATTCTAGCAATTTATATTCTTTAAACTATGGATACAATGGAACCAATCTGACGAGACTATGATAAAATGTTAATTTTGTTTTTGCAGCTTAATTTATGCAACAAACTGGACTCTCCATGGTTAATCAAGGCTGTAAGACAGCAAAACTAAGGCAGCCTAGGAATCTCTGCTCCCGCACACCTTTCAACTAAATCGCAAAAGAATTATTTCCCCCAAAATTGGAAAAACTGTTCAGAAAAATCACTAAAGTAAGCATTATGAAAAAAGGTGAAAAATAACTTTTTCATTTGATCAAAAAATCTCAGAAGCATAGCAAAAAAAAACTTATAGAGCAAATTATAGAGAATAATAATATTTTTTTTTTTAAAGTACTCGGACTAAAATATATATTTTTTCGTATGAAATAAAATTGCTAATTCCCCATAAAGGTATATTCAGTTTATATGGCTGATCGTAAATAGTGCCTAGTTATGGTAACAAATTTATATTTACATGAGTTACTTCTAAATATATATATATATATATACACAATATATATACACAATACATATATACATATATATATATAAGCAACAGCTTTGCTTCTCTATAATTTCTACTTTAACTTGAGTAATGTTATAATCAATAATCACTACTCTTACCTGATTATAATCACTAATCTGATCATCACGAACAATCTTAAATGAAATGCAAACTTATCTTAACGAAAAATGTGCCGGAAACAGACAGACAGTTAAAGTTTTTGTTGAAATGAGTAATAATGTCACAACATAAGCTTTGACATTTCAATGTCATTTTAGATTAGAACGACCCTGTTCTGCAATTGTAGGTCATTAAAATACAAAAAACATGATCCCTGGAGGTACTATCCCCTGTTCTAAAATATACCTCTGCCTGAATTTGTTATTTTGCAACAAAGGTTTTGATTTGTATTATTGAAGTGCAAATCTTTAATATATTCAAATTTGTGTAGAATTTTATGTTTTGATCTGTTTGATTACATAATTTTATGAAAATAAATTAAGTATTTGAGAAACAAAGAAATAAGGCTACTATACTCTAAAAAATATAACAAAATGCATGTTTTTTTTTATCTCAAAACAAACTGATGTAAAATGGATTGTCAATAATATAATTTTAATTAGGTATCCTAATTAACTTTTCACAGTTTATGTAATACATAATAAATCTAAAGATGATTCAAAAGTATTTGAAAAAAAATCCAAATTGAAGTCGTATTTTTAAAGAAGCAATCAAACCTTGCTTTTTATGAGAGGACAAACACCCACTGCCACACTTTTCTCAAAGCTAAAAACCAGTATCAGTGGGGATTAATATGCATTAATTAAACTGAATCTGTTTCCTTTAATGAAGGCGAGAGGATTTGATGTCAATGTAGTTGAATTCACAAAGGCTTCAATGCACCTAATTAAGCAGCATATCTTCAATACATTGAAATAATCAAAATGAAATAATATATTTCAGCTCTGTTATTGATCCCGCCTTAGGGTTCTAACCCATCTTGGAAATAGGAGAAAATTCCATTTTAGGTTTTAGTTAGAGGCCTTTTCTTGTGCAATGCTTAAAATGCCTGTTTTATCAAGATTTTTAGTTATATGTAGCAGCGCTCGCTGTTGCATCTGCGTGCTGTGCAGAGATAGTGAGTCTGTGGAGGGCCAGGGAAGCAGACTCCAGAGATCCATCCATCTCAATCTGAGGCTACAGCTGACACCTTACAAAGAGGTACAATTAATAAGGGCATTATCTAGCAGCAGGCAACAATGGAGTCCTAAAGCAGAGACACCAACCTCAGGAGGCCCGGCGAGCAGAGAAAAGGGAGTGTGTCTGTTTATGGGTGGGGGGAAGTGCGAGCCAAAGTGCTTCGAAATGGAATGCATTACAACCAGTGTCTTCAGGACATAAATTACAATCTATTACATCTGACAATTATGATTGATGGTGAACAAGGTTTGGTGCAGTAAATGGGTCAAATTATTTCAAATAATCTATACTTTTGAAGTAACCTGTGTGATTTTTTAGTGGGCTAAAAAAAGTAAAAAAGTAGAAAAGATTCCTCCCTGTCTAACAGATGACAGCTTTTCAGATTATAGATACATCATAAGAAGGAATCCTGAGTTATCAAACCTAGCCTAACTGATAGTGGAGCCCTCATGAAATTGTCCTGTTAGTGCAGGTTGAATGCAGCTCTGTGGTTCACAGAGGATAGGGCGGGGACACCGCTGCACTGACATTTACAGCAAACCAGGAGTTGTTTGTGGTCACTGGACTGGAGACAAATGGTGAACCTGAAAGGTCAGGAGGGTTGAGACTAAATTTCATCCACAGTGGAGGTCCCTCTGTTGGAAAAGACAAACAGAAAGCAGCTCAGGTGTGTTGGGGGGCCGATCCCGTTTCCCCTTAGAAATCAATCCGTCGTTATGTAAACACAGATCCAGCCCAAAAGGAGAAGGGGGCTGAACAAATGTTACCCTACATAAAAGAAAGAAAAAAAAAAAAAGAGTCAAAAGGACAACAAACAAAAAGCGGATCAATACCGGCTGAACCCGCCAGTGAAACAATAGTCTGGGAACAAATTCTCAAATAATGAAGTCTAAATCGCTTCATAAGTCGCTTCCAGTTTTTAGAACAGAGTCAAGAATCCCCCCTCGTAGCAATGGTTTTATATTTTCCAGCTCATTCCACGAGAAGAGGATGAGCTTGGTTATGGATTAAGGCTTTGATCAATAACAAGATAGGAGGCTGGTTCTCTAAGCTCAAGAAAATTAATTCGAAATGCAGTCAAACTCTTATCGACCCAAAGCCAGGGCTTGCTTTCATTGCAGGTAGTTGATAATCCACCAATATTGTGATGAGCAGCTAATCCCTTATTTTAAATGTGACCTCCCTTGCAAATAATAAAAGTAAAGATGGGCCAGCCATTTGTTATCTAAACAGAATGTGAGGTCATGTGATGTGTATAGGTGAACAGTCATTTAAGTTTATCATTATCAACTTTAAGTCATGAAATTGTTTAATTCTGACAAAAACATGAAGGAGGTAATTTTTTTCTACAGAAATGACAAAATAATGATCAGTTTTAGACAAATATTATTTTATTGATGGATATTCAATAAAAGACAAGGACAGTACACACCAAACAGTCCTTACAGGATCTGACCAGTTAGCATACCTAGTCCCTAGGTTGGCGTTTCTGTTAAAAAAAAAACAAACAATAATAAAAACTTTTAGAAAAAAGGACTAACCAATAAAAAGCAATATACTTTCAGAAAATTAATAACTATGAAAAATTTTGCCACTAGGTTGAGGACATTTTAAAAAAGCATCATATGTAAACAAAACTCTTAAAACTAGTCATGAGAGCATGTTTCCTTGCAGATCTTTAATTCTAAACAGGTTATGAAAAAATAGTAACATTTATAATAGCTTTCTAAAGAGGAGATGATGCTTTAGAGGCAGCTCTCATAGGTCTATAGCAGTTCTATAATATATTATTATTGTCCTGTAGAGTTTGATACTTTTAAATGATAAAAAACAATAAAGTTACCATTTAAAATAGTTTTTTTTCTTCTGTAGATTGTCGCTGTAGTTCTATTTTACTTGCTTCTATCAACAATGTTTAGTATTTGATTAGAAAGAGACTTCATAAATATATTGGGTGCTTGGTTGGTTTGAGATCATACTGTCAAACCATAGGAAAAATGTTACATTTGTTTAAAAGGTTGAAATTTCCTTTTCCTACCAACTCAAAACATGACAAGCTATTGTATTGTAGGTATTCACTAAGCTTTAACTCAGGTCAAGTGATTTTTTTTTCTTTATTTCATTTGACATATTTTGCCATGTCCCTGTAATTAATATATTCTTATGTGACAGATCAATACACACAGATCAACTCATCAAAGCAGTGTACTGTATGGTTGTGATGCTGGACGAAAAATAATTGATGTTTTTAGAAATTCATCATAAATCAAAAAATCAAACAAATACCTCTAAAGCTGGGCATGAATTTGGACAAATTTTTCCTTGGATATCTTTAAATAAAATCCAGAGCAGGCAGTCACCTTCAGAACACACCTTATAAGGAAATATATTTATATACTTCACATAAAAATAAAATGCATCAAATGTTTTCCTTTGATTTTCTTCATCTGAAAAACAGTGACAACAGTCAAGTTTGATCAACAGTCACAAATTTGATGTTTGCATTCTTTTCCAGCATGTTGTGAAAGTAATTAAATTTGTAACATAATGTTTCATAAACATCAATTTGTTCAAGTGACTAAAATTAGAAACAAATGTTTAGATGATTTCTGTTTTTTTTTTTGGTTTTGTTTCAATTTTCACTTGTTACATCAAAAACAACGATGACTGGAGATTTAGGTTAAAATGTAAAATTCTTCTGAATGTTTATTAAGTCCTTAGAGAGGTAAAGGTCATGCTTTCTCTCTAGTCGACCAATCAAAAGTCGTCCCTCCTTACCACAAAGACAGCCCTTATAAGCCTCCTTCCCCTCTGGCAAAAACTTTTAACTGTGGGGAACTGTTGTGATGCAAGTTACAAATCAGAAGCAAAACAAAGCAGGTTAATTGATGATCAGCTCGATTTGGTTTTAATGAGGCCATGCTGCCCACGGCTAGGCCCGGATCAGGATATGCAGGACTTTCTCCTCAATGCTCCGTCTTCTTTGATCTTGTTTGGTTCCTTAACTGCAGCAGCAGCCATTGTTGGCTTTAATTACTTCACGAACCAAATGGTACGGATGAAAGATAGGTTTCTGTAATTAATAAAATTTCCATAAATTTGAATCACTAACCAGTCTCATTAGCTGGCGCCTTTTGTATCGACTGAAGTTCCCATGTCATCCTTTTCCAACTTTAACCATACAGAAAATAAATATTTCTAGAGGGCAGGAATTCACTTGATATGCACCATATTTCCTGATAATCAAATTCACTGTAGATAATTAAATGCAGCACGCACTGTAGTCCTGCTCCAGTGATTGAGGTCAACCCGAGGAAAACGGCAATGGCTGCATTAAACCAAGTAAAGCTGAAAAAAGAAAAGTATTTTCAATTAGGTATTTCAGAGGAATGCTGCAGTGGCAGGCATGTTGATCTCATTCAAGCTCTAACACATAATCAGATTGTATAAATAATTATCTTTGATCATGTCTTATCAGGTTCAAGGGTGATTGCTGCACCATTGAGTTGCAGGACTGCTTGCTGGCACTTGGTGCTTTGGATGAAACTCAGCCTGGCAGGGACAGAGCTGCAGGGTATCCACAGGGCATTAAAAAGAACAGTTCCTCAGAGGGAGAAAACACCTGTTGTTTTGGTGATTTCAAACATGGTTGGATTGGAAAGCATGGGGTGATAGTAGAGCAGCGCTTTGCAATATTCATACAACTCTAACTTCTTCCCACAAAAACGAAAAACTTCAGTGTACCTTTTTGAGTTTAAATAAAATAGAGCAACATAAAAGAAGTAATTAAGAAGAAGATGGGAAAACACTTCTTTTATAAACGTGTTCAAACACTTTGAACTTTTTCAAACCTTTTGCTTTATTACAACTACTAACACATTTGCACTTCATTCCACTTTTGTGTGATTGAGCAACACAAAGAAGTTTAAATTTAACTGGAGGGGAAATGATAACTTATTGCCAAACATTAGAAGCTCTGACAATTGTGGAGCTCATTCATATTCAGCCTATTCTGCTCTTACACCCTTCATTCAGTGGATTTTACTCAGGTCCCCTGAATATAAAAGCTTTTGCTGCAAAAGTCACCCTTGAAGAAGTATCAAAACTGCTCAAGCTAAAAAAAAATGTGCTTTAAAAGCAAAAGTGTTAATGCATTTCTGAGGGACTTTATACTTCTACATAAAATCAAGTACAACAAACTGCTTTCAGGTATCCCCCTTGCTCTGAAATAAAGTTCAGCTTAGTGTCACAAAAACCTCAGCTGCTTTGTTGTGGTCTCAGAGATCAAATGGCATTATGTCAACACAAGAAAACAGTAGACAAGTCAGGAAAACATATGGCAAAATTTGAAGATGAATCAGGTTTTAAAACAGCATCCAAGCTTTAAATTGAAGGGTAGTTGGCTGTTTTTTATTTTATTTAAGGATATCAAAGTAAAGGGTAGTGGGTATGAGCGCATCACTTTTTCATTTTTTTATACTTCAGTGTGATGAATTTCTTTTTTTACAGTTTAAAAGTAAACTTGGTTTTTTTATGGATTTTTATTCAGATGACAAATTCATAATAACAAAATGACTGCATCCAACCCTTTTTTTTAAATAGTAAAAAAAAGAAAAAAAAAAGCATCCTTCCATCAATGCAATTGTTTTCTCCTTTGGTGTAAAAATGAAGCTATTTCCAATTATCACAGACCAGGTCAGAAAAAAGGGAAGCAAGTCTTTGTTGCTTTGTGACAATGCTCTATAATCTTGTGGAGAACAGCCTGTCATTACCCAGCTGTGGTGTAATAGACTGACATGGATGCTATGGGGAGCAATTGATTCCCGCACATCAATCAGTTGGGGAAGCGCACCTTTAATGATTGCAGAGAAGTGGCTTGTTTGTCCTCAACATCATGATAAACGCTAACATGGAAGCGGTGCACAATCCCAGCGAGGCTGTCAGAAGGGGTAGCCTCTCATGATGGGGAATTCAACAGTCCACTCCTTCTTTCTCAAGTCCTCTTATTGGGAACTTGCTTGATATCACTGCTGCTCTGGTCTTGAAAACATAATCAAAACTCTGAATTTCTCATCCGAGATGATACATGATGGAAGCTTCTTCAGAATCATGAAACTAAAGACAGAAAAGTTATTCCCATATTGGTCCAGATAAAAAAAAAAATCCATGTCTTTTCTTTAGCCAATTAGTAGAAAATACCAGCAAGATGCAAAAAATATACAATCTTCTCTAAAAGGGAGGGTCCCTCCTGATTAAGAAGGACACGAGAAAGACTTTGGCGTGCCAACGGGAGAGGTCAAGGCTATACAGAGCTGCTACCCCCCTCCCCATGCACACACACGCACATACACACACACACACACACTCCTCTGGCATCAGTTTTTTGTATTACAGCAACACTAAAGGTTGAAGTTCGCCAAGACTCTCCATGAACAGAGCGCTTAACGTCAAACACAAGATTAAAGCAGGGGTGTCGCATCTTGGCAGAACCAAATGAAAATATCAACCACTAAGCCCCACACCCCCACCCTTCTGAAAAGCCAAGGGACAGGTATCTAATATTAGAGAGTAA